TCTTTCTTTTCTTTTGCCAATATATTTACTGTAGCTTTAAAATATGCTTGTATACATGATAAGACAAGCCTGCTCTAAATTTTCTTAATATTTCCAAATGTTGTTTAATTTAGCTTTGACGATGTTAATATATTTATTGTATAATAATTCTGAATGTATTTACTGTATAAAGTTATTAGTTTCATGAACATATGTGCATGAGTCTGTCAGACCTTCCACTGAAACACTCAAAAGGCCTACACGTGGATGTGCAGTTTGAGAAGGTTCGAGGGGGAGAGAGATTCAATTATTATATGTTTTACTTACATTTGGCATATTATATTTACATAATATAAATGCTTTCATTTAATAAATATTTGCTGAGCACACCCTGTGGTGTACTCAAATGCCTTCACATACTTTTTATTATTTTACTAGCACATTAATCTTTGAGGCAAATGTAATTACTCCAATTTTTAAATTAGCAATCTGAAACTCAGTTTTCTTGATGTGTTCCTGGGTAGCACACCTGGTTTCTAACAAACATCTTAAACTTAACATGTCTAAACCAAATTCCTGATCTACCTCCCCAGATCTACTCCGCATGCAGCCTTCTTCATTTTATTAATAACAACTTCATCCTTCTTTGTGGTTACTAAGAGCTAAAATCTTTGCCCTCACCCTTGCCCTTGTGCTTGGGAAATGCTGTTGACTGTACCTTCTGAATATGTTCAGAATCCTACTGCATCTCACTAATTCCACTGCTGTCACTGTCACCCTTAGCCAAGTCTCCATCATGTTTTTTGTTTTTTTGAGACAGGGTCTTGCTCTGTCGCCCAGGCTAGAGTGCAGTAGTGTCATCATAGCTCGCTGCAACCTCAAACTACTGGGCTCAAACGATTCTCCTGCCTCAGTCTTCCCAGTAGTGGGGATTACAGGGGTGCACCACCATGCCCTGCTAATTTTTTTATTTTTTGTAGAGATGCAGTCTCTTTGTGTTGCTCAGGCTGGTCTTTAACTCCTGGCCTCAAGTGATCCTCCTGACTCAGCCTCCCAAAATGCTGCAATTACAGGCATGAGCCATCGTGCCTAGTCCTGGATTGTTAATTCTTAATAAATATATGTCTAAGAAAAACCTCTAGTTGTTACCCAATTCTGTAACTTTTCTTCCAGCCAGTTTTTATCCTAAAGCTTTGTTTTTAAAATGGGCCATTCTTCAGTTAACTAACCAAAATTTTAAAAATTTTATTCACTATTTTTCAAATTAATTTTTTCTAAAAGACCAGTTTTAAAAATTGTAGAAAAATGTAAACATTTAAGATGAGCATTTCTTCCCATTGAATTCTGTTCTTTCATAGTGAATGAACTGTCAGCTCTCATGGAGGATGGACGTTCTCAAGTTCTTCTAGCAAAAGTTTACAGTAAAATGGAAAGACCTGGTGATGCAATCACTTCATTACAGCAGGTAAATGCATTTGTTTGTGAGTGTGGTCATGGGATGGGAGATGGATGTAGAAGGGAATATGCCACATGTAAGAGGAAAACAGTTTCTTTTGGCCCAGCACTCCCAGAAAATATGTCAAAATAGAAATAATGATTGAATGCTTATGGCTTGTACAATTTAAATGTATTATTGCTAATTATTTAACAATTAGGGAAAGTTGGTATTTTTAGTCCTGTTTTACAACTGAGGAAACTTGGCTTAATAACTTGTGTGAAGCCATATGACCAGTGTCATAAACAGGATTTGAACTCAGTGCTTCCTTCCTCCATTCTTTTAGATCTTCTTTCATTTCTGTTAATATTTTGTGGTTCTCAAAGTAGAGATTTTTTACACACATTTTCTTACATGTATTCCTAAGTGGTTGTTGTTTTTTGATGATTTTTCAATTTTTGTTTACTAACAATTTTTTATAAGTGACTTAAATATTATCAGATACACTCTTCTGCATCTATCAAGATGGTCATAATGACCTTGCCCCTGTTTTCTTAATGCATTATATTAAATTGATTAATTTTCAAAGGTTAAACCATCCTGATATTCCTGAAATAAATGTGACTTTGTTACAATTTTTAAAGGATATTACCAGAATTTAAAGATGTTTGCTAATATTTTGTTCAGGATTTCTACATGTATATTCAAGAAATAGACTGATGCCATTTCTTTAATGTTTGGAACAATTCAATACTGAAACCATTGGGACCTTGAGACTTTTTTGATGAAAGTTTTTATTAATGGATTTGACACCATTAATAGATTTTAGACTGATCATGTTTAAATTTCTTATGTCAGTTTAGATGATTATATTTTTAAGATAGTTCAGTTCATTAAACTGTCAAATTTATTGACATAAATTTTTTCATTATACCTTTTCTTTTGAATGTTTATAAGAGCTGTGAAAAAAGTCCTCTTTTACAGACCTGATATTAGTAATTTTATTTTCCTTTTTTTAATAATCAATTATGCTAGGGATTTATTATCTTATTAATATTTTCAAAGAATCAACTTTTACCTTTTCTGACCTCATTAAATGTTCACTTTTTACCTCATAATTAGTTTCTTCTACTTTCTTTAGGTTTAGTTTACTGATCTTTTTTTAGCCTCTTGAAATAGTATGTTAGGTAATAGATTTTTAGCCTTTGTTCTTTTCTTATTCATTTAAGGCAATAAATTGTTCTCTAAACACTGCTTTAGTAGCGTCCCACAAGTTTATTATTATTCAATTCAAAATATTTCTTCATTTTCACTTTGATCACTTCTTTGACCCATGGGTTGTTTAAAAGTGTAGTGATCAATTTCTAAGCAGTTCTGATTTTTTTTGTTATGTTTTTTTGATGTCGATTTCTAGTTTAATTCCACTGTGGTCAAAGACATATTTTTAATGATTCAATTTTTTGAAATTTGTCGAAGCTCGCTTTATGTGCTACATGATATTCAGTTTGGGTACAGGTTTCATGTGGATTTGAAATAATGTGTTTCAAATGTTACTAACAACTATGGTCAGGTCAACTATGTGTCAATTGGGTCAAGTTGATTTGTTCAAATTTTTTCTTTTCTTAGGGTTTGGTTATTGTTTATTTGTTTGCTTGTTTTGGTCCGTTTGTGTAATTTGCTTTTATGAGAGGTATGCTAAAGTCTTTCAATGTGATTGTGGATTTCTCTTTCTCCATTTGGTCCTATGTATTTTTGTTTCATTTATTTAGAAGATGTATTATTGAATGATCCAGATTTAGAATTGTAACATTTTCCTGGTGAATTAACTTCTTTATAATTAAAAAATGGCCTTCTTTATATCTAGTAATGCTTCTTTCTTTAAAATCTCCTTTGTCTGGTATTTATATAGCTACTTAAGCTTTCTTTTGGTTAGTGGTTTCATAGTATAGCTTTTTGCATTCTTTTACTTTCAAACATTCATGTCTGTGTTGAAGATCTGTCAGCATAAAATTACTTTTTTCTCTGACAATCTAATATTGTCATTAGAATATTTATTTTGCTAACATTTAATATAATTATGAATTATATTTGGATTTATACCTGCCATCTTACAATTTATTTTTTTAACTTTTCTTTCTTGACATATTAGTTTTCTGTGTTGCATAACAAATTACCTCAAATTTAGTGGATGAAAACAATATTATCTTACGGTTTCTATGGGTCAGGAGTCTGGGCACCTCTTAGCTGGGACCTCTGCAAAGCTGTGGCCAAGGTATTGGCCAAGGCTGGGTTCTCAACTGGAAACTTATCTGGGTAAGGATCTGCTTCCAAGCTCATACAGGTTGTTAGCAGAATTCATTTCCTCAAGGCTGTGAGACTGAGGACTCCAGCTTCTGGTTCACTGCTGGCTGGGAGGCACCTAAGAATCCTGGAGGCCTGCAGCTCCTTGCCCAGTGGGCCAGCTAATCTGACCACTTAATTCTTCAAAGCCACCAAGGGAGAAAGTCTCTAGAGTGAGTGAGTCTGCTAGCAAGACAGAGTCTTACATAATGTACTGTAATCATGGGAGTGACATCCCATCACATTTGCCATATTCTATTAGTTACAAGCAAGTTCCACGTCTCACCTATATACAAGGAGAGGGGGTCTTACAAGGGAGTGCAGGAAAAGCAGGGATCATGGGAGCCACCTGAAAGTCTGTCCACCAAATAAATGCTCAAAACCTCTTGTTGAATGACTGAAAGGAAATCATAGAATTACTCTTTAATTCCAGGAAAAATTATAGGAGAAAAATCACCATTTAATCCATTTACTGTCTCTTCTATGAAAATAAAATCTAAGTAAATGAGAAATAAAGAACCTCTGTGACATAAAACACTTAACAATTTTATAACTTTATAACTTCACATAGTTGTCACTAGTATGTACAGATGCTTGTTTTACTTCTTTCACTTAACATCTAGATTTTTCTAATCTATATAGTTTGATATTCATCTTAGAAAAAGTAATATGATATTCCCATTAACTGGTATATTTTATTTTTAGATTGTCTGACATAAGATGTGTATACAATAAAGGAATTAAAATAGAAAGAGAATTAAGAAATCTATAAAGATGTTTATATCTATACTTTATTCTACGAAAGATTTGAAGGGATTTACAAGAATATACATTATAAAATAGGAAAGGGGAGGGAAAAGTAAATGTGTTAACAATCAAGGCTAATATAATTAATTGTAAAGGATAATTAAGTTCAGCTCTGATCTTTCAGGAAGTCAAGGGAAAATATGGAATCTTATCAATTTTTCAAGAAAATTTTATTGCCAACACTAAATTCTATATGAAAATGTTTCTTAATGATCATTGAATATACTCTTTCCAAATTAAGCTTCTTTTATAAAATATCTTTAATAGGAAATACAAAACACTTTTGTTTAAAAATTCCCCCAATTATATATCTTTAACAAAATGACAAAGCATCACACAAAAATCTAATTCATAAATGTGTTTCTCTAAGCTAATAAGGTGCACATATTTGGCTTTCTAGAGATTCAGTTGTTTCAAAGATAAAACTCAAGTATGGAACCAGAAAAGACCTCGTATAGCCAAAGCAATCTTAAGTAAAAAGAACAAACTGGGAGGTATCAGTTTACCTGACTTTAAGCTGTACTAC